AACACGTGTTTGCAGCGTTGAGCAATGCAGTGCTGAAATTTGCGTACTCACGAATCCTCTCATTATAACAAACGAATTGTAGATAGTAATCAGAACAGTAACGTGATTACTTTTAAAAGGAGTAATCAGTAATCAGTAATTTCATTACATTTTCAGAGTAACTTGCCCAACACTGGTCTTGTGTTAATGTTTCTGGATGTTGTGTTCTTCTCTTCAGTGTTTAGTAGAAGCTCCAATATGTCTTGTTCATTGGGTCTCATGTATGTTCATGGATTTATAGTACACAGCGACCGTGACAAAATGAGGATTTTTAAAACTCCTTCATTTTGTGTGTTAAAGTTTGGTGCATAATTCATCCAATACTGTTTGTACTATGAACACAAATAGTGCCTCAATTTGTGCGGAATATGAGGTATGCGATTGGGTGTCTGTTGCTAAGCATCTATGAGTAATATTCTAACACAGAATCGTTTCACACTGTACCATTTTACACATTAGTTACAGAAAATGCGTTCTTCTACCGAAAAACTAAAAGCAAGGTTTAAAATGACGGTAATTTAGAGTTGAGGCTCTGAAAACTGAAGTGTCTAGCATCAAGATGCCATTATGGTATGTTACACTGCAGTGGCAAAACTCAAAGCCTTCGTTTTTTTCAAGCTTTAAGCTTTTTGCTTTCTTTTCATAGATGTACTCCTGCCCCTGCTTAATTAAGTCTACAAGGAGAAGAGTTGGTCCATCAATTAAAGTCCCAAGCTCAAGAATGATCTAATATAAATATGTAGACGGCTAGTAGAATAATGATATTGTCACAGTTTTGAACAAGGTAGATTATAAATCATGTGTTTCCTCTGTTTCTCTCTAGCGATTTTCAATTTGATTCAAAAGAACATCTAAACATTTTTGTTCATGAATGCACTGTGACTGGAAATGAAAACATTATTTGAATATTCTGTTCTTGAGTGTATTTCTATAACAGTTCTTCATCACAGGTGAAACAAAAGCCAGACAACAGTTATCATGAGCTCCATTCAGTCAAACTTCTCTGTAAATGTGACCTTTGTTCGTCCTGCAGCATTTTTCATTAATGGTTTTTTTAATATGCCACATGCAAAATACTACTATATGTTCTTGTTTTTAGTGTATGTTGTGACTGTTTTGGGGAATTCATTTATCATGTGTATCATTTATTTGGCCCGCAGACTTCACACAGCCAAATACATTGCTGTTTTTCATCTGGCGCTTTCTGATCTGTGTGGAAGCTCAGCTTTGATTCCAAAAGTCATTGATACATTTTTATTTGAGCACAAGGTTGTTTCATATGAAGCATGTTTGTCAAATATGTTTTTTGTATATCATTTCATGAATCTGCAGTCTTTGACACTACTTGTTTTGGCTTATGACAGATTGGTTGCTATTTGTTTTCCTCTACAGTATCATGTCATTGTAACCAAACCAGCCATGTTTCCGATCATAGGGGTGATGTGGATTTTTTCTGTGACATATTTATCTATACTTGTAGGTTTTGTGAACACACTCTCTTTTTGTAGATCTATTGTGATTAATAGTTATTTTTGTGACCAAGGACTTATCTATAGACTAGCTTGTAATGGAAATTGTATAAATATATTGATGGGAAAAATTAGCTTTGGTCTCCTCATGTGCACACCACTCATACTGATCATTATCTCATATTTCTGCATTGCTCTGGCTCTGCTTAAGATTGCTCATGGTGCTGACCGGATCAAGGCCATGAAAACCTACACCTCACATGGCAATTTTTTATCTCCCAGTTTTAAGTAATAATATTGCTGCTGCCACAACATCTATCCATCCAAACACCCAGTTAATTAACAATTCTTTTGACACAGACAATACCACCTATGCTGAATCCCATCATATACACTCTAAAGACAGAGGAGGTCATGCAATCCATAAAAGAACTGTACAAATGAAGTAGGGTGTGTGTGTTACTGTAGAAATAAATATAAAAGGCAGTGGGAGAATTTAAAATTATTTAAAAGGATTTAGTTCTTTTCAATATTATAGTTTGCTGAATTTCATTATTTGCTTGAATGAAACTTTTTCTGTTATTTTAAATTTGTTATCAGTTATATTGTCTCTTTAGAACATTTAACAAATATTTAAAGGATATTTCGACTTGCTGTGTAAATCTTGTAAAAGAAGCTCTCTGACTTGTCACATGTGATTAAAAAAACCAAAAAAACATTCTGTTACCAGGTTGATCCTCTATGGATTGTGTAAGGATTATGACTATGCAGTAACTTATTCCCACCATTCTGTGCTATTTGAAACATTGTGATGCGTTGTATGATGATCTAAATTTGTTCAACTTTAAACTTTAAAGTGTTTATTCAATAAAATCAATGCAGTCAGAATGACAAAAAAAAAAAAAAAAATTAAACAACCCTAGTACACAGGTGCTCAGCAACAAATTTTTGTTTAATCCACACAATAAACAATGGTATATTTTATATAAAAAACATTAAATTTTCCCTGCTAGCATGTGTAAAATAACAGAGAATTCATCATATACCATTTGTGCTATCAACATGAATGAAACGACACTATTTTAATGTTTGTCGTATCACACTGCTCTCTCGTTTCATTCAAATAAATAAATAAATAAATAAAAAACTTAATTCTCTTCTCTGCATTTCTCTTCTGTACTACTATGTCTCCTAATCTAGCTTTCTAATAAACTTGACATTATATCCTGCAAATACTGTAGGGCTACTGTGTGCTGTGATGAATTGCTTAAGCTTGTAAGTCACATCGGATAAAAGCAGAGGCGGACAAAGTACTCAACTCCATTACTTGAGTGAAAGTACAGATACTGCTGGTCAAATATTACTCCATTACAAGTAAAAGTTGTAAAGACAGATTTTTACTTAAATCAAAGTACAAAAGTACTTGCTTTTAAAAGTACTTAAGTACCAAAAGTAAATTTCCTTTTTTATGTCAATGCACCGTTTTATTGTTGTACGTCGTAGTACTTCCACTACTTCTGAAGCAACTTAGAATACATTACACCTGCTGAATACACTGACTAGCTT